TTTAGGGTATTCAGGCAATATTCCATTACAAATCATTTTGGGTTCTCTGTCTCCCATTCCACCCCACAACAATCACTGAACATGCTCAGCCCTTGTTACCTTATCTGGGGGTATTTTCTTCCCACCTTGGGGATTCCCCCCAAAAATACTTTTTGTACTTTTGCAAACCTTCATGTTCTCTTGTCTATTAAAACAAACAAACGAACACACACACACACACACACACACACACACACACACACCATTTATTTGTGAATGATAACATTTTTGTTATATATGCATCCAAACTTGGATACCTGAATTTGCTGTTGTTGTTGCTGCTAGGATGATGATGATGATGATGATGTATGTTCCACCATTCTACCAAAAGTTGAGCTCAGGACAATTTACAATAAACTTAAATTAAATAAATCCAGTTAAAACATAAGTAAAGAAAAGCATAAAATATTATATGAAGACGAAGATAACGGTAGTAATAGTACCTCCGTAGTTGAGTGATTTCTGCCCACAGGCGAGGTACTAAGTAGGCTGGCAGCATTTGTGCCATCCAGGAGCTGCAGAGAGTAAACTCACTTCATTTCTAAATCAAGCATTTTCAGTTTGGTTGGAGTCATCAATGCAAAAAGACGGCAGTCATCCCAAACATAGGTCTTTTTAAAATTCATTTCTTACATTACAGGCCATCTTTCTTCCAAGTTCCTCAAGGCAGCAGGCAAGGTTCTCCCCACGTATTCACGCCCCTTATTCACACAACAACCCTATAAAGTAGGCTGGAAGATTATGGCCCGGAACAGACGGGCAGGAAAAAGGGTCTCGATCCTGCTTTTTCCCAAAGTAGGTTGAAACCCCATTGCCCACATGGCCTGCTCCCAAGGTGGGCTGAATACGCATGGGCTAACCACACAGCATGATGTCAAGTAGTAGTACTTTTCTTGTTGCCTCCCCATCATACATGTGCACCATTGCACAAGCACACTGCCTGCGACCTCCTATAACCTCCCACATTTGTCCAGCTGCCATCCTGTTGCACTCCTGTCCCTTTGATCGGCCACAGTCACACGTGCGCCATCGGTGCATTGGTGTGTGAGTGATAGATGTCAATGCACAATTATGGAGCCCCCCCCCATGCCCCCTTCACCCCTCTTTACCCCATGCTCCTCTGTTGGACTTAGTGTATGTTGAAATTACATACATTGGAGTTGTTGCACTTTCATTTCTTGGCTTTTCTGCAGCCCTGCACTATGTCGGAGAGTTTATTTATATGAAGCAGCAAAGGTGCACATTTTCCAGGCTAAGTCGGAATATCCCAGCTTCTTTTTGCTTTGGTTTTTAACCCCCATGCTTTCGGTCTGGTTTCCAGCCACTTTCGAGGCGTGCCTCGTCTAAAATGCCCTGCCTTGAAAACGGTTGGAAACTGCCCATCTGTTTCACCTCTTTGTATGCCCACCCACTGGCCATCTTGAATGTCACTAGACAGTGTGGAAGGGGGGGACTTTGCACATGCTCAGAGATGCTCTTAAATGTTAAATATGCTAGGTGAGCCCTGGTTCAAATTCAGCTCAGCTGTTTCAGAATTGCTATCTGGGTATGAAGCAACATCATGCTATCATTCCCTCCTGTGATAAAGATCACCGAATGTTAATCCCATCTGCTCCCTCCCTCCCTCCCGTAGGGAAAAAAAGAAACAAAGGCCAACATTTGTCACATCCTCACTTCCAGCACGCAAAGAGTCCCAGTAGCTCTCAAGAATGGTTCCGCCTTTCTCCCTCCACCCCTTTTTTCGCCTTTGCATTTATGCAGAGGAGGGCTGCATCCGCACTGCAGAAATAATCCAGCCGGACACTACTTTAACTGCCATGGCTCAGTGCTTTGGAATTCTGGGATTTGTAGTTTGTTGTAGCACCCGAGCTCTTTGACAGAGAAGGCTAAGTGTCTCACAAAGCTACAGTTCCCAGAATCCCTTAGCACTGAGCCATGGCAGTTAAACTGGTGTCAAACTGGATTATTTCTGCAGTGCAGATGCAGCCTAAGAAGGGCCCAGCTGGACCCTACTAAAGGCCTATATAGTCCAACTATTCCACACAGCAGCCAAATATTTCCATATGGGAAATCTGCAACCATTACAGGAGGGCAATAGCAACGTCCTGTTTGTATTCCTTAGCAGTTGATATTCAGAGGCACACTCAGATACCAAGGGCTACAGCTATCATGACTTGCAGCCATCACTCTCTTTATCGTGTGAAGTTCTCTGATCCCTTTTAAATGCTTTCCACCCTGGCAACTGGGTCTTTTGCAAGAGCACAAGTCCATAGTTTAAACCAGAACCCCCAAATAGTGTACCTTTTCCTAAACGGAGAGTTGTTTTAGGGCCTTGAATACTTGGTTTACCCTCTTCCAGCTTGGCAATCTCCTTGGCCAGGTGCAGTGACCAGAACTGTGCACACCTTTGCACCGTTCTAGATTGGATGATGATGATGATGATTATTATTATGTTTATTTATTCTGAATTGTTATTTCATAATCTTGGTTTGTTCAGACCTACAAGACAGTCGTATCTGATTCTTGTTTTCTAAAGAAGAAGAAGAAAATGTGCTTGAGTAAATGTGGTTTTGAAGAGTTGTTGGTATCTCCATGCATCACTTGCAGCTTTGGTTGAGATACAGGTGTTGCCTCCCTTTAAAACACATTGCATTACAGGTATGATAGAAGATGATATCAATGTCAGCCAAGTAACTTTTCTGCAGTCTAGTCATGGCATGTTCACACATCCGAGCTCTCTCTTAACCTGACAGCTACCGAGCAATTAATATTCAGAGATTCAGCCGTATTAGTCTGTAGAGAGATCTTGTAGCACCTTTGAGACTCACTGAAAGAAAGACGTTGGCAGCAGGAGCTTTCGTAGACTTCAGTCTTACTTCCTCCAAATGCATCCGAGGAAGTAGACTTAAGTCCATGAAAGCTTAAGCTGCCAACTTCTTTTTTTCAGTGAGTCTCAAAGGTGCTACACGATCTCTCTACAAGCAGTTAATATGTATATGTGCACCGGGACCACTTGTATACCAAAGAATCAAGCAGTGTACATTGAGATATGTGTGATATGATCTTCAAAAAAGCCAGTTGGAGAGCTTTTCAACTCACACTCTCTCAGCCTCAGAGGAAGGCAATGGCAAACCTCCTCTGAAGAAACTCACTTGGCCATGAAACCCACTGGGAGACCTTGGGCAAGTCACACTCTCTCAGCCTCAGGGGAAGGCAAAGGCAAACCTCTGAATAAACTCACTGGGAGAACTTGGGCAAGTCACATGCTCTCAGCCTCAGGGGAAGGCAATGGCAAGCCTCCTCCAAATCAATCTTGCCAAGAAAACCCCATGATAGGTTCGCCATAAGTTGGAAATGACTTGAAGACACACAACAACAACAAATCATTTTCAAAAAGATCAGATCAGATCCTGGATACCTGACTCTCTCACATATAAAAATATTTGTTCATACTGCCTACAATTTCTCACTCTCTCGTCATTTCATCTTGCTCTCCCCCTAAAATTTTCTGCCATGGCTGAGATACCATTATAGTTTTCACATTTTTCTCCAGCTGGAAGCCAGAAAAGGGATTGATCCTTTGCTCTTTTGTCAGATGTTGTTGGACTACAATCCCCATCAGCTCTAGCCAGCATAGTCAGCAGTAAGAATAATGGGAGATGCAGTTTGCAATAATATTTGTAAGCCACAAATTGTTCACTCTGGACTAGGAAAACAGGAAGGACATTCTGAACTATAAGGAACTTTGGAGATATCCAGTGATGGGAGCATCAGGTTTAAAGGAACATTTTGCATTACAAATACTAAACTACACATTTCTGTAGCAGTTCAAGGCATTTCCCACCCATACACTCAGTAATACAACAGCCCTGTAAAGTAGGCCAGCCTTATAATCATGTTATTGCAGACTGGTAGGAGTAGTGCCAAGAGAAAAATAGCTTGCCCATGACCACATAATGAATCTGTGGTTAGATTTTAATTACCGTAAGTACTTATCAGCTCACCTTTTCAGGGTCAGTTTAGATATTATACCAAATACAGTATAAGGAAACTTAACAATGGGTGATTGATAAACTATTGATTATTAACTTCAACCAGACAAAGAAGCCATGATTTAAGGTAGGTTGCTAAATCTGAATTTTCAGGGCTGTATTCCTTGAGGCCTGCTCTAAAGGCACCAGATCCCCATCTGATCTTGGAAGCTAAGCAGGGTCATACCTGGATAGTACTTGGATGGGAGACCACCAACTAATACCAGGTGCTGTAGGCTATATTTCAGAGGAAGGAAGTGGAAGAACCACCTCTGCGTATACCTTGCCTAAGAAAACTCTATGGAATTGATGAGGTTGCCATAAGTTGAAGGAAGACTTGGAAGTCACATCAAGACACACATTATTATTATTATTATTATTATTATTATTATTATTATTATTATTATTATTATTATTATTATTGCTTCTGCTCTGGAGAGTCCAGTGCTACAGAAATGGGAGCCATAAGCAGAGGAGGAAATGAAGGCACCCAAGATCTAACTGGAGAGGCTCAGGCCATGGAGTGGGTTTTAAACCATGGTTAGTGCAAACAGTTGTTTGATGCACCATCGGAACTGAGTCTAAACTACTGTGTCTCAACAGTCCTAAATCAATACCCAAGACAGTCTAGACTAGAGACACAGATGTAAATATTTCAGGTGTAAATACATCTAGAATGAGGTGATTTATTTTATTAGGATTCCCTATCCATCTTTTACAAATGAAATCACTTTTGAGTGGTTATAGGGCAGAGATAGATGCATTTGTTGTTGTTATTGTTATTGTTGTGTGTCTTCAAGTTGTTTCCAATTTATGGCAACCCGGAGGCCAACCTATGATGAGGTTTTCTTGGCAAGATGTGTCCAGAGGATGTTTGCCATTGCCTTCCCCTGAGGCTGAGAGCATGTGACTTGCCCAAGGTGGGTTTCATAGCTGAGCTGGGAATCGAACTTTGCTCTCCAGAGTCGCAGTCCAGCACTCAAACCACTATGCCACGCTGGCTTGTATAGATGTGTGCTCTTTTGCATATTGCTCGACTGCAACTCCCATTAGCTGTAGCATGCCCAAGTGCTGCATTTCAACAACTTTTGCAGGGGCACAAGCTTCCAGAGCAGCGCGTTCTCTAGGAAAGAGCATTTCCCCTTTTCTCCACTTCTGAGTAGCATTGGGCCCATTTTTTCTAGGATCTCCATCCCATTTGTTAGAGCACAAACATTTGGACATGTCTATTCTGCAGTCCAAGCCCCTTCGACTGTATTTCACCAGTGCCTTGAGAAGCAAGATGCAGAAGTGAAGTACGTTGCATCTGAAGATTCTTTCCTATCCCTTCTTTAAAGTGGACTCCTGAATTGCTCCTGAATTTATAGTGATCTCCTTCATGGTACATTGTGGCTGTTTGACGTGCTGCACATCCTTGATTTTGTCCAGTAGTAAAACTACTTCTTGTCCCATAATTTTTTTTGGGGGGTGATCAAGCTTTAGCCATGTAAGAATGGGCTGGGGAGGTGATCCGCTGCTGTGGACCCAGGAAACCCACTTCACAACCTTTCTTTTTAAACTCCCACATCCCCAGTTTAATTTCTGCTATTGACAGAGGCAGAAAATATTGCTCTGCTGGCATCTAAGTACATGTTGACGCATTTGGGATGGAAGAATCAGCCAGCAGTAGAAAGGTGTGGTACTAGTGGAAGAATAGGGAGAAATGTAAGGTACTGTACTTAGGTAGAAAAAAAATGAAATGCATAGCTATAAGATGGGGGACACCTGGCTTAACAAGTGAAAGGGATCTAGGAGTCCTAATAGACCACAAGTTGAAGATGAGTCGACAGTGTGATGCAGCAGCTGAAAAGGCCAATGCAATGCTAGGCTGCATCAATAGAAGTATAGT